TGAGTCTGGGCTCACAAAGATTTTACAATTACTGGGAATGCGTTCTTATAATAAGCATTAAATAATGCCAAAATGGGGCATTTTCAATGCCTCGCTGCTTCTTAATGAGCATGGGTACCCCCCTTTTTTATTTCAAAATTGAAGTTATCATATGATAAATATTCAGTGGGCAAAGTTTGAACAAAAATCTATTGTCACTTTTATTTCAGAGGAATTACCTTACGAACAAAACTCAGTTCACCAGACACAGAGAGTTCACCAGAGAGGTGTTGAAATCGGGGCCAGGCTGCTCTCTTTCGTTAACAACACTTGTACAAATAAGACAAGTCAGACAAATTTTATTATAATTTGTAAATAACTGACATGCAAGAATTGCCCAAATTGTTGTAACATATATTTGCATACTGTTCTAGTACATAATTTGGTACTTTTTTCAGTCCAAATTTTACATTTCCTAAGAAAAAGACTTAGAGCCGGTCTTAAAAACTGAGCTTCACAAGTAGCATTTTGACCGATTCAGTCAAGCCTAATGTATAGCAATAGTTTAGAAAAATAATGAACAAAATTGTTCTTGACAGTCACCACTATGTTATGATTTTTGGAAACATTTGCTCATAAGCTCTAGTAAATACAGTGTTGTAGAGTTACCTGTCACAGAGATAACATAAGTCAGGAAACAATGCATCAAACATGAGACTTCCAATCTTTTTTTCCCTGTCCAAAATGATCTATGAAATAAAAAATAAATCTTTATGATACATCAAACTTCTACACAAATATCCACCTGTACATATCACTCCAACTGTTAATAACTTAATAGGGCTACCCTAGAAAAAGTAGCAAAACTCCTCACCATTATACATTAATGATAACTATAAGAAATACAAGTAAATAGTATCTGGCACACAAGCATGTTAACTCAAAAAGATTTTTGAGTGATGTAGCATAAATAGCCACTTCTCATACACAACAGAAAAACCATGACTGGTATGACGAGAATGATGAGTTAATATCATCTGTTCTAGCCGAAAAGCACCCTCTTCACAGAATTGCTATGAATGATCCATCATCAGCTGCAAAGAAGGCAGCCCTCACCAACAGTGAAGTTCAGGCAAAGCGTCATAGGATGCAAGATGACCGAGCAAGCAACAAAGCAAAGGAAATTCAGGTCTATGCTTTTATGCTGTTGTGAACTGTCTGTCCTCCATCAGTGATGAGGACATTCCTTGCCACCAACAGGTCCTAATCCATTGGGACCTTGGTGCACCACCCACCCTCAAGGAGTGGGTGTAAAAGCTTTTATTGAAAGCAAAATGCAAAGAAGAAAAAACACTACCACCAACACCATGCAGTTTGCATTTGTTTGTTTCGAAAACCGCCACAGAGCAGCTCTTTTCTTCTAATCCCAGCATCTTACGCAACAGACTGAAAAGGGAATAGTTACTCTTTGTGGTGTTTCACAAACATAAAAGGACATATAAGCACAAGCATACACACTTGAAAACAGAAGCTCTCTGAGAGGACGTGTTTACTAGATAGTGAATGGTGCAAAAAAACATCTGTGGAGTTTTAGTTTCATTGCAAAATATTTGTTTTTAAATTTAAATGCTTGACACACAGGTTCTCTGCATCACTGTGGATGGGAAGGCCAGGACGGGAACAGAGTGGATGTGGGAAAGCCAAAGACAAAATGTTTAAGATGTGTATTTTTTGTATAGGACAGTGAAGTCAGTGACTCAAACTACATAAAAGCTTTTCACAAAACCCATGACATCCATTACAGATAGTAGAGATCTTATCCTATTGAGCTTAAACAATGACGAACAGAGATGCTGAATTATTCTTCTTTATATAAGCTTATTGAAGCAAACATCCCTGATCTGTCAGTAGTAATTTTTAATAAAAAACAATCCAGAATTTATGAACACAAAAGATATGTGAAGGATCTTATCAACTTGGTTCAGATGGCTTTTTGCCAGCAGAGCATTTTATAATCCTGTTGAGGAATCCTGACTTAAGATAAATATTTCAATTTCCATCTGTAATTGAAACAAGTAGTAAAAATAAAACAAACATTACATCCAGTTCCGGGTCGTATGAAAAAATGACATAAACATCAATTTGAGAATGTGCACTTATTTGCTAGACAGATGCTTTTAAGACATGCATCACTCATATTTTCAATCAAAAGTTTTTGCAAAACGCTCAAAATCCTGCAAGATTCTTCAAAAACAATACTTTGGCACATTCGGTGAAAGTTGCACTTGGTTATACATGTATGAAAAAGAAAGATAGGAAACTGAGAAAACATTGCAGCGACTCACCAACATATACGACTATCCAAACAATGTCACATCATGTCGAAGGGTGTGGAAAAACGAGTCTGCAATGTCCTATTTTTTTGACTTCTTAGCACTCAGCAGTGAGAGATCGTCATTTTTCTGCTAAACTTGATGCTAAACTCAAAATTGTTTCACTCAAAATGTGATATTCAGTGAAACAATAATAATTCTGACTATAAAAAGCAGTTATTTTCATTTAAACTCCTGTTTAAGAGGTGAAAATCAATTATGAAATCCTGAGGTGTTTTTAGTCTCTCTTTGTCATATTCATTGCTCTGAAAGCTTCTGAAAAGTCATGGACTATCTATCTGTCTGACTGACTGACTGACTGACTGACTGACTGACTTACTGACTGACTGACTTACTAACGAACCTCGGGCCTGTTTCTCGAAAGCTCCCCGGAAACATTTCCGGCCCACAAAGCCATTTTTAGTTCATCTGTATCTAAAAACAGAAAGATATATACACCCGAGACTTCTTGTATGATGGGATCCTCTGTTCATATTAAGAATATGTTAATAAAACAGCTCTGTAATCACACGGTTTGAGATTTTGCTACAGCTTTCCAGATGGAAAAATGTTTCAGGACCTTTGAGAAATGGGTCCCAGATGACATGTTGGTGACTGCCTAAAGCCAGTAACCACAAAAATGAGTTAGGTATGTGTGAACCCAGCTTATCTGCCGGTGTTTACGGTTACCGTAGCTAATTATAAGATGGTCGTCAAAGACATTCTTTATTTCAATGATGAGTGTGCTGTAAATGACAGTGCCAATGAAAATGCACTATTGACTAGCTCTCTGTGGCTTTTGATCCCTTTGGCCTCACCATCAGTATCAATAAAACTGAATTCCTGCACCAACCATGCCCTGGGAAGCCCCACGTGAAAGCTAACATCAGGGTTTTCATTAAGGCTTTCAGCAGAAGGGCAACTGGTTTTCACAAGAGAGGGAAGCACCCTGTCCATCAAGCTGTCATTGGCAATGAAGTCAAGTACAAAATCACCAAGGACACCAGTGTCTTTGGGAGGCTTTAAACCAACACTAAGGAGCATCAGCCTCAGCACCAAGTTCAAGGTCTACCAAGCTATAATCAACTACACTCATCAGTACCTGTGAAAGTTGACAGTCTAGAGCGGACATGCAAGACAGCTGAAACGCTTCCATACAAAGCTGTTTTCATAAGCTGATGAGAATCAGATGGCAGGAACAAATTCCCAGCACAGAGATTCTATCCCATGCCAACATGTCTAGTATACAAACCATCCTTGAGAAGGCAAAAGCAAGATAAGTTGGACATGTCCTGTACATGAATGACCAGCACATCCCTGATGCTTTTGTATGGTAAACTGCAGCGCTCGACACTAACTTTTCAACTTACTAGCCTAGTGGATAGTGACAACTTAGATGTTACTAGCCAAAATACATACATATTGTAGCCATATTGTATTGTACCGTTTAATACATATTGTTGGTAATTACATTGTACTTAAACCAGTTTCAATAATAAAACAGATATATTATATTTATAACACAACGTGAAAAATGAAAAAGAGCGCATTAGCATTTTGGCGGTGGACGTGTTAGATTTACACCTTCTTCCTGAGCAGGTCATTTCATTTCAGAACTCTCGTTTTTTGGCTTTTTCTTTTTTACTGCTGGTAAAAAACCCTGTTATATCCATTTTCAAATTTTAAGAAAAACAAAACAATGCAATTTTGCATCTGAAACCTCTTGACCAGTTGACATATAGGCGGCACACCTTGTGTCACCCTTGACTGGTAACGTTAAACACTAGGGCAAACCAAGTTATCACCGAATTACGCCACTTTTAATTTTGTTTAATTGCCTCATGTTTTCCTCACATCAAATCTCTCAGGCCAACAGATCACAAAGAAAAATCCAGCAATTTTCCCCCCAAAAAACTCTCAGGACTCTGTTTTTCTTTGAGACTTCCTTGGAAAACATTGAGACCCCAAGATGTCATTGTAAAAACTATTGAGACTTCTTCAGTCTCTTCACAGACAGGAGCTGTAGAATTCAAACTGTTTCAAAAGCAGGGCTAGCGAAACTCGCCTGCCTATAAATGTCGAAGGAAATAAATTTTTCTGATGTAATTATTTCTGAAGTGGTAAGTCTCGTCAGTATGGACACAATGACAAATCACCTATGTGTTATTATGCTAAATGAAATGTTATCCCTTTACAGTTCTGCACGATTTTGCACATGATATTGCTCATGTTTTGTGCACAGTGCTACTAATTTTGTAACAAAAAAAGAACAGCGATGTGTGCTTTCAGAAAATGCTGTCTTGTTTGTCAAATATTTCTTTCAATATAACAACAAGTTCAGTTTTTATACCCTTTCAAGTACCACACAGCGAAAAGTAAACATGATGTGTCCAGGATGAAATTCTGACCTTGTTTCTGAGTAAAGTGTTAGTGTTTGACTTCCTTGAGGAAGACAGAAACTAGTTCAGCCAATTTCATTTTGTTTACAAGCCAAAGTGGCTAGTGGAAGTCAAAAAACGTACTAGCCAAAACTAAATTTCTACTAGTCTGTGGCTAGTTGGCTACCGTTAGTGTCGAGCCCTGAAACTGGCAGAAGGCAAGTGTCAAGTTGGACCTAAGCTTCCAAAAAGACAACATCAAGACCATCCAAAAGAGCTAAGAAATTCCTGTCAAGGCCCGGGAAGACCTTGTCTCACATTGACCATTGTGGCACTGCCTAATCAGCAGAGAAGCCAAGTTAGCTGAACAGCATTGCAAAGTCATGGCTAAAAGCAAATGCTGGGTGCCTCTTCAAGTAACATTTAACAACTGTGTCAAGTGCCCAGAAACATTCAAATGAATGGGATTAGAAGTTCTGAACAAAACTTGAAAATTATTTCCATGAATAGAAACATTCTATATTATTTTCATAGTTATGGAAGTAGATTTGATAGACACATTAAATACACCTAAATCTTTTACACTACTAACAACTTTAGTATGGCTTACTGTAAGGACTACCTTACGGTAGGTATGCAAGAAAAAAAAGAACGAAAAGAGAACAACTGCTAGAATCAACCCTGGGTGAACTAGATTCAAAAAATATATTTTTGGTTTGTTAAGATTCTTATATTTCCTTTATTCAATTTTGTTGTTTTATGTGCTCAACAACAGCCTTAATTAACACCAAAGTCAGACATTTTTCAGAAGTTCTTGTTTACACTGTACTGTATATTGAAAGCGTCCCAGAAATAATTAATCAGAAAGTCTCATTTCCTGTGGTTGTTAGTGGTGTAAAATGTACATGAAAGTTAAACTTAAACTTTTGACATAATTTTTAAATTTATGCTCTGTGACAGTGCTCACCACAACCAAATTTTGACTAAATTCAAGGCTTA